ATGGAGCACAGGGTAAGGAATAGGCACACAATAGTAGAACACAGGGTAGGGAATAGACACAGGATAGTTTGGTAGCGGTGGTGGGGAGCACACACTAGAAGTGGAAGGGGAAAGGAAATACAAGGCAGATGGGAGAACAGCTAGGCAGGTTTACATGGGCTAAACAGGGCAGAGGTAAATAATGACATAAGCACAACTGTGGAACAACAGGGCTTGTGGATAGAAAGACTGAGGCATGGTGTGAATGGATAAAAGTGGAAAAATAATGTTAAGGTGATTGGCTGTCTTTTGATTCTTGGTTTCCCTTGCCTACTATAATAAAATAAACACTTGAAGGGGAGATAGAGGAATAGCCAGAAACATCACCAGAGAAAGCTTGTAAGTCTGTCTTCAGCCTAAATAAAGCTGATTGGAATACTTAAAATGGGACTAGAACTTGCCCAGTGAAGGAGGCTCCCTGCAGAGCCTTTGACACTGCACAAGACCATAGGTGGAATCCTGATCCCCATCCAGAATCTTCTGAGATGGGGCATTTCCACTTGAAAGGACAAGCACACCAGTCTGGAGCAGCTAAAAGAACAGAAGATACTTTTTGAAAGAAAAAACAGCAGGGAAAAAAACCGCAAAAAAACAGTAACATCAGTCCAATTGACTACTACAAGAACAAGCAAGTTGTTCCCCAGGGAGCCATCAAGGTAAGTGGTCAGGTCCCCTCAAGGCAAACCCCCTTCAAAGATTGACACTCAATTGGAATACACTAGCAGGCATGTATGTGGTCTTGCTGCTGACCATGTTGGTCACCGTATAAGGGGAAGAAGGGGAAAAACAGCAATAAAGTTGTGAGCTAAGTCCGAACACATTCAACAGACTCCTGTTAACCTGGATTGAGACCTGGTTAACCAGCAGTATGACGAGACCTGGGGACTCCTGGGCCCAGGGGCAAGGACATGGCCCCAGAGGACTAGAATGGAGTGTGAAGCATCCAGCTGATATGAAGTGAAGGGAGATGCACAAGAACACTCACACTTGTAGATAGTACCCATTTGACCTAACATCAATGGCTGGATGATCAGAACATGACTAGAGGAAGAAAGAAGAGGAAAAACAACAACAAAAAAAGAGTAACCCCCTACAAGTAGATGAACTTGACCTATGCTTGTGGATGCAGTATGACAAAGGAGCAGACAAATCTCTACATTGAGGATCATTCCCATCCTCTTGGTACACAGGGTCAACAGGAATAGGGAACTTAGACATTGGCTACCCAAAATGGGGGTTCTACATAGGCAATAAGTGACTGGCTTACAAGCTTTCAATAGGGAACTTAGTTCCAGAGGACACAGAGAAAGGTAAAACCTCCACTGAATTGTTTCCAACCTGTCTGGATGTGTTAATAAAAGGCGAGGGGGAAAGTACTCCTGTGGTTCAATAGGAAATGATTGCTATCAGGTCTGACAGTGAGTGTTGGAAAGGTAAATGTAAATCTTTGGTAACAAAAGGAGGGGAGCGGCTGATTTTGCAGTCCAGAAGCAGAGATCCCTGGAACCAATAAGGGAGAAAAGCGAAGTGCCAAACCATGTCTGGAGAGGCAGTGACACTAGGGATGGAAGCAGAGGCAATGAAGTGGACAGAAGGAGCGGCTGGGGACTCAGGGAGGGAAAGGGGATGTGGGCTTGCAGCTGGGGGTGGGGTGGGGTGCGCAGGCATGTGTGGTGTACCCTTTGGGTGTGAGCATTGCAATGAACCAAAATATGATAGGATGAATGTAAAGATAATGTTCACCCATGTAAACTAACACATAATTCACAATTTTAAAAAGTATTAACATTATAATCTGATATGAAAAGTACATTTCTTAAAAACAAAAAAAGGGGGGGCCTAGTGTGGTGCTGCAGGATAAGCACCGGACTACTAACTGCATGGTTGGCAGTTCAATCCCACTATCCACTCTTGTAAACCCTATACAGAGTCACTATGAGTGGGAACTGACTCAATAGAACTTAACAACAACATAAGGAAAATAATTAGTCTGAACCGTGAAAAAAAAACCTTTTTTATTTGTAATCTGTAGAAACATAAAAGTACCCTACTAGTTACTTATGATGACTTTATTTTAGTTTTACTTTTTTTTTTTCTCTTTTTCATGAAAATCTTCACTTTGTATCAGTGGCTCTCAAAGAGCACATTTCACAGGATGCCATAGGAGTACTGTACTGCAAGGTATGTTTGAACTGCAAGGTCGGAGGTTTATACTCACCCCAGCCACTCCTCAGAAACCCTACACAAGGTTGCTATGAGTCAGAAGTGACTCCATGGCATTTAACAACAACATCATATATTACAAATGATTCCCAAGGTGAAACTTGCATCCTCCCTAGAAGACCACACAGAGACCGCTGAAGGGTGGCTGGCTGAAGGCCTGTGTGCAATTTACAAAGCACCTGAGATTATAAGTATTAGAAGGATGACCATTACTATCGCTTTGTGGATAAGCCCAAGGTTTCAAACACCCCTTTAATCTAAGCAGAGCTACAATGTCAGACAGAGGATAATGAAATCCCCCTGCGCTTCCTGACAACTCACACCACCGCCTTGTCTGTCTAGCTGTGAAGAAGGTCCAAGGAGATCCTACCGCACACCACTGCTGGCAAGTGCACGCACATACCTGCCTACCAGCTTCCTACTTGTATCCCTGCTCCTGTTCGGCTGAGGGACGATGACAGGCAGATGATTGCAGTACTCTTTGCAGTCAAACTTGTGAACATCACAGGAAAGGGCTCAAAGACAAGTGTTTGCCCAGACACCATAAACACTTCTTGTATCTCTGCAATCTTCTTTCCATTCCCTGACGTGCCTGGGACTATTACGGCTTCTGATAATGCTGACTGGTTTCGTTTGGATAAACACAAAGACCAACAACAGCATACGTCACTGAAACTGATTCTGAGTTTCATTTCTGTAATGGCCTTTCCTGCCAGATAGACCTATTTGTTTGATAATTACAGCTTCCACCAACCTGTTCTTCCTCCACTAAGAAATGGGAGGTGATTTAAGCAGATGGCACCTTCTATGCAGCATGTTCATAAATGCTGTGCACAGGGATGAAAGGTGTAGTCAAATTACACACCTTGTGAGTATGAAGGTGGTCTAGTTTCTAAGTTCTTCCTCACTGAATATTCTCCTAGCTACAGAGTGACATACACAGTGAGGCCCACAGTCCATAAAGAACCCAGGCAGCAGGTGAAAGGCGTATTCTTGCTGTGTCCCTCCACCAGCCCAATCCCAAACAGCCTGGAGAATTAAACAACTTGAAAATACCAGGCGATGCCTCAGCATTCTTAACTTTCAAGTGCCTTTCAAGTGCCTTAAAAGCTACAAAATTATTAACAGTCAGATTTAATGTTAAAGATTTTAAAATAATGAAATTGCATCCATTACAAAGTCAAAACTAAAGTATTTCTTTTAGCTGAGCTCTAAAAGCTCTCTATGGTGGTGATGGTAATGGTCGTGGTTGTGTGCCAGTGAGTCAGTTTCGACTAATAGAGACCCTTGTTGGGTTTCTAGGGCTGCAAATCTTTATGGGAGCAGAAAGTCTCATCTTTCTCCCATGGAGTAGCTGGTAGATTTGAACTGCTGAAATTCCAGTTATCAGACGAGCACGTAACCCACTATACATTGAAACAATTCCTTTCCCGCTACTTAATACTATTCTCCCTCATTTCTCTAAGTAAAGGATTATGCTGAAAATAGAGCAAGTACTATGAAACTTTAGGTCCAGTCAAAGAATTAGAGAAAACCTGCAAATTATACTCCTCTTCTCTGCGCTAGTCATTGCTATGATTTTAGGACATGTATCTGGAGTCCTGGTGAGGTGCTGTGGGTTAATGTGCCAGAATGCAAAGTCGTTTGAGCTGCAAGGTCAGTGGTTCAAGCTCACCAACCACTCCTTGAAACCCTATCCAGGGTCACTATGGGACTTGAAGGCACTTAACAACAACATCTGCATGTATCGCATGTTAAAGGGCACTAGAGAAAGAGAAATGAGTTCCTTTGGGAGGGCAAAGAATTCTATTTAGGTATTGACTGGCAGGGGCATCTTGTTCTCCCCATCCGAACATCGAGTCCCTTTTCAAGGGAACAGAGCCACAGATCTAGTTAGTCTAAGTATAATCTTCATATTGTTGAGGGAAAATCTGTGGGCCCAGGAAAAAGAGGACAGCCGGTCTACATGGAAAAGGGCACCCATGATACATAGAATGTCAAGGGCTGGGATGGCCTGTACACAATTCTGAGATGAAACATGACCTAAAACAAAACCCAAACACTACACACACAAAAAAACTAACCCAACAAACTAAAATTAAAACTACCCTCTCGAAGGGATCAGCCAGGTAGTGCTTCCCAAATAATACTTAAATTGACTCTGTAATGACAATTCAATCATGCTAGTTCTATTTAAAGTATATTCAGGCATTTTCTTGAGGTGAATTTGGTTAAACAAGGCAAATATGAACTAATGAGTTCATGACAAAAAGATACACTCACAGTTGGGCACACTCTACACATCGTATCTCATAAAAGGCCAAAATATCTGCGTAGGCTTAGAATTTTACAAACATTGAATCAATAATATATGTATTTCCTTCTTGATCTTATAATCATTAAATACAGAAAGGGCTGGGATATGAAAGGCTTTACCTAACTCCCATACACAGTCTCCGCATAGCATATCTGAATCAACCACAAACATGTTCTCAATTCTTAGCCACCAGCATAATACTTATATTGTTTAAAGTTAACTGGAACTATTATTCTGACTACTCCTAAAAATACAAACCATCCCCTACATGTTACTTAGCCATAAGGCATTCAAATCAACTGAAGTTCTCAGTCAAAGATGGTTAAGAGGTATATTAAGATGAGTTGCTGATGGAATAACAAAATACTTGAATATAAAAATATCTGAGTATATATACAAAAGTGTAATCACAGTAACTTACCTATTAGTCCCTTCTCGAGAGTGAAGGTTTTGTTTGTAAACATACATTCAAAAGCCACAATGTGAAAAATCTTGTTCACTGTGTTGTGAGTCCCAACTATTCGGATATACCTGAGGATAAAAAAGAAAATAAAATCTGTTGAAGAAACTGAACTTCCATCCCAACCAATACAAGGATAACACAATAAGTTACACCACATGTAAAGCTACAATGTACCAGGGCATGGACTTAAAAGAGACTTTGAATGTGACATCAGACCCTATACATGCTCCTCGGGGCTTGAGCTAACGGAGCCTGAAGAATCACAGCAAAATCGGGGTGATGTCACTTCCCAGAGAATTAAGTACAACTTAAATGTGATTTACCTAGAAAATCATACCAGATTCCGTTCAGTCCCTGAAAGTCAGTATAGATCTAAGTCCATGAGGCATTTATATACAACAAACAACTTTTACCCTTGCATATGCACACACAGGAGGGGGCTTCAAAAAATTCTTGAAAAATTCCATTATCTTAATTCCATTTTTCCATGAACTTTCTGAAGGCCCTTTGGTACACATACAAATAAAATACTTTCCAACTCAAAGATTTCACCTATTGGAGACATATGCTTTCCTGCTTAAAAAAATAAATAAAGAGATGAAATGACTGAACAGTCACTCAGGGGTTCTTTTATTTTAATGAAGTTCCTAAATTCTTGTGAGGAAGTTAACCCTGTATACTTACACCAGCCCTCCCACTTCACTGCTGGGTAGCGTGCTCTTGACCAGAGGAAGTGATCTGCAGGGAGGACCCAGCCTGCTCTACAGTTTCCTTCTTGGTCTCATGGATCTGGCATCTGCACACAGTGCAGACTCTCACCCGGCAGGTCTTGAGCATCTCAGCCTTTTCACCCTCTGTATCTCCCTGGAGGCTTCACCTTCCGACAAACATGCATTAACCTTGGAGCGACTTGCTCCTTTCACTCTCCAAAGGGACCTGACAGTTCACAGGTTAATGAACAGACAAACTCACTCTTCAGAGTGTCACATGATTCCATGGGGACTGTGCCATACACCTTCTTACTGGCATTCTGCAGGAGAATTGGGAAAAGTAACTAAATTACCCAATTAGCCTCTCTCAAATTATGAACTATGCACAATGAAGGGTGGGGCATATTAAACAGACAGATTTCAATGAAGAGATAACAGACTGAGCCAGGTTTTAGCAATATCCTTCCTCTGCTGTGTAAAACAACCTTCAACGTAGATGATATGATTTTACTTCTGAGTTAATCGCTGTTCACTAATTTGATAATTTCTCTACATTTCTCACCACTCCAAGTTAACTGTGTAATGTAAATGCCAATTTAGAAAACTTCACATTAAGAAGACTTTATTCGGGAGCTTGCATATCATGGGCTATTTTCCCTCCTGTTTCTTCAAGCCTGAATCTTTCTGCAATCCATGTGCACCTCATTTAGCCATCTGTTCATTGACATGAGCAGATCACTCATCTTCATAACCAATATGTATGCTCTCTCCTGGACTGGCTGCTCACTGCACTATATCCAGTACAGGCAGACAGCACTCATCCTGTGTGGTAAGAAAGACCGGAGCAACTGCTGAACTCACCAGAGCCCTCTGCTGAAGCATGAGGTTGCCCTTAATCTGTTATCTCAAGCCCTAAAGGCAGGCAGAAGGTGCTGATTTTGCTTGGTTTGGGTTGGATCATTTGAACTAAATTCTTAATGGTTTGGGTAGACAGATTGTGCCATCCTTTACTGTGGGTTGGTGACTATCTCCTGGTGCTTTCTGGAACGGAAGGGGTGTGCTAAACCTGACACCTTGGCCTGAATCTAATTTTGTCAATTTCCTTAAACCCACAAGAACTCAACCAGCATAGTATTTTCAACCACATATGGCCATGAGAGCCAAAGAAACGCAGTCTGCAACCTTGAAGGGAATGTGACTTGATGGAATTTGATCAGATCATTTTACTTTCTCTAGGTTGAGACTCTACCAAAAGACAAACAATTCTGACTACTGTGCCCAGTGGAGGGGCAGAGGAGTGACTAGCAGGGCCTTTCCCTGTTCCAAGTAATTACAGCTAATAGTCAAGGAAGCTCTATGAGGGTGAGGAGGTAGAGTTCCCTCCCTTCCGCTCTCTTTTTAAAAAATACAATATGGAATCATGCTTTCTACATTTAGGTAACAGTCATTCCCCCAAATTTACCCTGGTACAAATTAACAGGAATGGAAGAAAAGGAGAGAGAGAGAGAGAGAGAGAAAAGATATTCCTTCCCCCCAAATTATAAGCAACTGAAAAGGAAAAGTTGCACTGGAATACCTTTTACAGCCTTAATGATAGTGTTTGTGGTAACAAACAAGATAATATATATGGTTGGAAAAGCACCGAGATGCCTCCAGATAGAAAGTTCTGTATTAATGAAGATAATGCTATCTCTGCTGTATAATCCTGAGGTCAAATTAGCAATTCACTGCCATATATCACACTTTTTGATTAGCCTGTTATATGTAATGCTCATAGCAAATTTAATTATTCTAAATCTACAATACTTTCTAAGTCCCCACGAAATTATAGCATAATTTACTAAAGTGGCATAAAGTCCTTACTCAAACACTACTTAAAAAAAAAAAAAAGGTAACAAAGTCAAAAGAACCTATTCTCCTTTTTCTCAAACATGGAGAACTCTTTTCTACACTCATACTAACTATTTACAGTTGGATGGCAGAGAGGCTTCAACTAATGCTCCAGTACTGGTAACTTAGCAACAGCCACAAGCTAAGAATTCAAAGGCCCTATCCACAGCCAGGAGTCCTGGTGTGGTGCTGTGAGATAAAGCACTGGACCACAAAGTCGGTTTGAACCAAAAGGTTGTTGTTGTCATTGTCGTCAGGTGTCATTGCAGTCCATGGCACTTTTAGTATTCTCCTTCAACACCACAATTCAAAGGCATCAATTCTTCTACAGTCTTCCCTATTCACTGTCCAGCTTTCGCATCCATATGAGGTTATTGAAAATACCATGGCTTGAGTCAGGCGCACCTTAGTCCTCAAGCTGACATCTCTGCTCTTCAATACTTTAACCCACAAGCGCAGCCCAAAGCTTCTCACTACAACCCAGTCACCCCTG